ATTTTGGGGGATTTGGGGAGAATTTTAGGATTTCTGGGGGAGAATTTTACTCAAGGGTAAAATTTTGGGGATTTGGGGTTTTTTGGGGGAATTTTGGGGCTGAAAGTTCCGATTTTAGGGGAGAATTGGGAGAATTTTGGGGGTTTTGGGGGGATTTAAGGGGAATTTTGGAGTTTTTTTGGGTGGATTTTGGGGCTTTTAAGGGAATTTTGGGGTAAAAAATTGGGATTTTTGAAAGGAATTTGGCGATTTTGGGTAAATTTGTTGCATTTTGGGCAGATTTAGACTGGAATAATAAAGGGGAATTTGGGATTTTGGGGGAAATGTTGAGATTTTGAGGAGAATTTTGATAATTTGGGGGGAATCTTTTGATTTTTTTGGGCAAGATTTCTTTGATTTGAGAGAGATTCCAAAATCCTGCCCCAAATTCCCACATTTTTCATCATTCCATCCCCAAAATTCAACTTTTTTTGGTCATTCCCACCCCAAAAAGCCCTCTTGGAATTCCTGAGAATCCCGGGACGGAATTTTGGGATAAATTCCGATATTTTACTTTTTGGGAGGATTTTTGGGGCGGGATTTTGGAAAAGGAGGAGGGATTTTGGTGAAAAAAAAGGCGGGATTTGGGGAAAAAAGGGCGGGATTTGGGAAAAAAAAAGGAGGTGGATCCCAAATCCTGCTGGATTCGGGATTCCGCCGGCAGATAAACAAAATTATTAAAATAAAAATAAATCCGAGTAATAAAAAAATCAAAATAATTTAATGTAAATAAATTAAAAATTAATCAAAGAAATTCAAAATGGCGCCGACTCCCCCCGCCGCCATCTTGAGGCGCGGCGATGCCGTAACACAAGATGGCGGCACCCAGAGGACGCCTCCCGCTGCTGTTTCGAGCCGCGTTTCAAACCGAACCGGGACCAAACCGAGCGCGACGGCTTCGCCGGCACCGATTTCACCCCCGAGACCGATTTGAGCTCCCGAGAAACGAGCGGGAGGCGGAGATACAAAGGGCAAAGGGAGCCGCCATGTTGTACGGCAAGTGGAAGATGGCGGCTCTTCCTCTTCCGGTGAGGGAGCGGCGCGGGAACTGAGGGTGAACTCAAGTTTGAAATGAGCAAGGGGGGGATTTGGGGATTTCTGAGAGGGTTTAATGAACTTTGGGGGGCTCGAGGGTGCCTCCACCCCTCTAATTTTGACTGGTTCCGTCCAACCTCTCAGTAGCTGCACCGCCATCTTGAGGCGCGGCGTAGCCGTTCAACAAGATGGCGGCACCCCGGCACCATCTCCGCTGCTATTTTGAAGGAATTTTTAATTCAAATCGCAGCCAAACCGGGCGAGACGGATCCGCCATCACGGTTTAAGCCTCGACACAGATTTAAATACACGGGGAACAGGGAAAACGGCGAAAATGCTGATGTTTATAACGTATAGCGGGCGCCGCCATGTTGTACGGCAGGAGGAGTCTGAGGCGAACTTCCGGTTCCGGTGGGGGAGCGGCCCCTCAGCGGTGGCGGAGCGGGGGGTAAACACAGGCCGGGGGGGGCGGGATTTGGGGGAAATTCGGGAATTTTTTGGGAATTCTGAGGGAAATTTGGGAATTTTGGGGGTCGAGGGTCGGGAGGATTTAAGGGGTTTGTGGGGTCGTGGGTCACTGAGGGGATTTGGGGATAATTTTTAGAATTTGAGGAAATTTTTGAGGTGATTTTGGGATATTTGTGGAAAAACTTGTGGAATTTTGGGGAACTTGAATGAATTTCAACAATTTTGGGGAAATTTGCAGGAATTTGGTTGGAAATTTTGCCCAAATTTAACCAAATTTCTTTAAACTTTCTGGGAATTTCCATCCAAAACTCTTTGAAACCCCCCAAAATTCCCAAATTTTTAATTTTTTTCCCTTTTTTTTTTTTTTTTCAGCTCCCCCCATCCCAAACACCCCAAAAATTCCTTAAAAATTCCCAAAAAAATGGATTGAGGCCCCTCCCCCCCCTTGGATGGACCCCTGGAATTTGGGGGGATCCCAAAATGGGGGATTCGGAAAATCCCGGGAATCCCCCCAAGGAGGAGGAGGAGGAGGAGGAGGAGGAAGAGGAGGAGGAAGAGCTGGACCCCCGGATCCAGGTGGGAATTTGGGGGAAAACCCCAAAATTTGGGGATTTTGGGGGGGTTCGGGGTGGAAATTTTGGGGTTTTGGAGGGAAAATCCCTGAAAATTTTGGATTTTTGAGGAATTTTCCTTATTTTTGGGGTGAAAATTTTGGGGTTTCGGAGGGAAAATCCAAAAAAAAGGGATTTTTAATGGGATTTGTTTTTGATTTTTGAGGATTTGGGGTAAAAATTTTGGGGTTTTGGAGAGAAAATCCCAGGAAATTGGGATTTCTTATATTTATTTTTGATTTTTTGGGGATTTAAAAAAAATTTTGGGAATTTGGGGTAAAAATTTTGGGGTTTTGGAGAGAAAATCCCAGGAAATTGGGATTTCTTATATTTATTTTTGATTTTTTGGGGATTTAAAAAAAATTTTGGGAATTTGGGGTAAAAATTTTGGGGTTTTGCAGAGAAAATCCCCAAAAATTGGGATTTTTTGAGGGGGTTGAGGTTCAAATTTTGGAGTTTTAGAGGGAAAATCCCAGAAAATTTGGGGTCTTTTTTATTGTTTGGGATTTGGGATTCGAATTTTGGGTTTTTCAGGGATTTGGGGTCCAAGTTTTGCAATTTTTGTGGGTACATCCTGAAAATTTGGGGATTTTGGGTCCAAATTTGATGATTTTGGGTGAAATCCCAGAACTTTTGGGATTTGGGGTCCAAATTTTGGGATTTTTAGGCAATTTTGGGGAGGTCTTGAGGGAGATTTTGGGATTTGGGGGGAATTTTGAGGGAAAATGCCAAAATTCTGGGATCAGGGGGAATTTTGGGGGGTGGTTTGAGGAGAATTTTGGGGAAAATCCCTGAAATTTTGTGATTTTGGGGGAGATTTTCCGGTGATTTTTTTACCCCTTTCCCCAAATTTTTTATGGTTTTATCCCAAATTTTGGGGTGTCTTTTCCCAGTTTTTGGGATCTCCCAAATCCAGGGAATTTTTTTGACGTATCTTTTCCCAATTTTTGATGTTTTTATCCCAAATTTTTGGCTGCAGGAGGAGCTGGAGCACCTGAACGAGGCCAACGCTGAAATCAACCGGGGGGAGCTGGAGCTGGATGTGAGCGACTGGGGGGGACTGTTTTATCCCAAATTTTGAGTTGTCTTTTCCCAGTTTTTGGGATCTCCCAAACTCAGGGAATTTTTTTGAGGTATCTTTTCCCAAATTTTGATGTTTTTATCCCAAATTTTTGGCTGCAGGAGGAGCTGGAGCACCTGAACGAGGCCAACGCTGAAATCAACCGGGGGGAGCTGGAGCTGGATGT